GTCAGTAGACCAGTATGAAACCCCTGCCCAGCGCAGGTACGACCCCCCCCCTTCCCATGTTCTCGCACAACGATACTGTACCCTGGCAGCAAAGCAGTACGACCCTCGATATTCCTGGTTCGAGATTATTTTTTTTGTCTTTCAAAGCTAAGAATTTTACCGTCAGCGTAACAATGTCAACGATGTTCCAAAAATCCACAAAATATCGCAGGCGAAATTTGAAAAGTTGGAAAATCTCTTCGAAGATGTAGAAAACCTGAAATATGAAATGCTAAGTGTGTGATACCCCCGCAAAATCGACTGCTCAAATTCTCAAATTACGACCCCCACGGAATCCCCTCCTCTGGTACCCTAGCGACTAAGACCCCCTTATTTGTTCTCCAACGCGTACCAAGTGTCTTGCACCTTATGGGCCTTCGGGAGTGATTGTAGGTCTGGGAGGGGTGACAGCTTGTGAAGAGCTCACTTCCAGAGCTCTAGTCTGCGCTCTTTCACAGACCCACTTGGTTCGAGGCCCGCAAATGCAAAAAGGAATGATGTAAATAGGAGAAAAGCAAAAAAACCCAATTTGGTAGTCCATTAAATACCTAAATTCAATAGTATGAAGTGTAGGCAAGCTTATAAGTTTACAGGCGGGATACAGTACTCTCTAAATCTGCGCGTAAAATGAAATGTGACGCACAGAATCGGGCACACCATGGGTCGACCCGTTACCCTAGTTAATCAGCCTGTGTTAATTCCACTTTCACCCGGCCAGCAGCTGCCTAGGCGAACAGTGGATGATGTTGTGTGCACACGCTGCTACTACGCGTTGGGTTCTGCGCGCAAAATGGGGTACTGTATCCCGCCCGTTTTCCTAAACTTATGATTTAGCAAGTAAAGTGAGGCGCGACTAAAGCATGTCATGGCTTTCTGTCCCGTTAGGCCTCGTATTTGTTATGTCCTTATTTCTGAGCGTTAACAGGGAAAGCGGTAGGCCGAGATCCTTCACCCAAACCGAGAAGGCCCAGACGAGAAGGCATGCTGCTGTTCAGTCCAAGTAGTCCCACTCCTAATCGGAGCACGCTGCACTCAAATGGGCCCTCCAGTTAGGCAGCGTTCAGACTTCGGGACGGCGCGACTGATCGATGCGCATGCTTTCAGCTGCATCGATCGCGTGAACGCGCGACCGAAGCTGCCGTCGCGAAGTCTGAACGCTGCCTTACCCACCGCTTTGTGATCACAATAAAATCAGTTGAACTTCAGCGGTGAAGCCGAACACAGGTGTTTATGGGATTTTTCCGCTGAATTTGTGATTTTTATCCACAGCGATAAATACTGAATTCCTTACGATTAGTCCGACAAGTATGCCTTCCAAGACGATCAGCACATTACCATACGTGCCGTAGTATCGCATGAGATTATAAGTGTTGAATTTGTATGACGGAAGAACTCCACCCGATGCTGGCAGCTCTAGGAGAAGCCTAAAACGTCGAATTATTGAACTTCTGACAACAAGTCATTATACATATCTACAGCCGGAAAAAAAATTGGTGCGAAACTGGCATGATTTTGGAAGATCGGCAGTAAAAGGTTATTAGTGCATATTTATCAATTTGATCGTGAGTCTGGTCTCTCAGCCGGCACAAGGATAAACCAAATAAATAAAGTAAAAGAAATTATGTACCGCGCGATGGAGAACAGATTCGCGTTGGCGTTGAACAGCGAGAAGTCTATTATAAGAGCCCGTGTGCCTCTGTCGATCCATCGATTCGCCTGCAATTGGCTATTTTCTCCGATGAACCCGTAATTCTAGCTCCTTTTTTAACGTTACTTTGTTGAGGCAATCGAATTGTTAATCGGCCAAAAACCCAAACATTTCTGGGTAACCCTACCTTAACATCATCCAGCAGTTTGAGCGCTTTTGCGGAGTCATCGAGAGGAAGCTGAAGCAAAAAACCGCCACCTGTATAAGTGGTGATTGTGCCAATGATGGGCTCAGTCATTAGTGCACTGGCAGGCTGCCAAATATAACTGAAACCAAGAAAAGCATTCTCAGTGCCCAATGCAGCTAGTGAGAATTGCCATAGACATGCAAAGGCAATAAATATGAGCAAGTTATAGTCGTGCGCGTTTCCCCCCCCCCCTCCACATGACGAGTCGCGAAGTATAGACGCAGCCTAATTATGTATTCTGGCGCCTACACCTGCAGTAGGGCACCCTTTCTCTCCAGTCAAAAGTACACGGGCCAAAGGGAAATAATGAATTCAGCGCGCTGTCCTCAAAGTGCAATACCTGTGCAATACCAAAATCTCTCAGCGAACCCGCAGCCGGGAAAGAGAGAACACTGGAGGGCGCAGACAAGTAGCGCGCTTGGCTATGGCTAGACACGCGGCTGGCCGCACAGCATGAAAGGCGGAATCTGGAAACGGCACTGCACCTTGGTGCCACTTTTCCAGCTTATTCGGGGAAAGTGGTTCGCTACAGCAGCTGATGACCCATCCACCTTGCCCATGGAAAAGAATAGGTGTACAGTTCGTCTTTGGAGAAACATGTCTGCTCAATCATATGAACGGAGTCAGATCTGCCGTTTGCCCCCCCCCCCACCTAATGGTCAAGCGACCTCCTTTTTACTGCCTTTAAAAAGCAAACCAAATCGAAAGGCGCATGGAAAACTTGGCTCAGCTTGTGAAGGAGCATTGAATGAGTCTTTTACATTTTCAGGAACCTACGCTTCCGAATTTGCAGGTCCGAATGACTGCTTATTTTCGACCGCGGGATTGAAAAGTTACTTAGCATTCAGTGATTTCACGGCAAAGCTTGTTCGATAACCCGTGGCATGAAAGGCGTTTTTGGACGCTGTAAGAATTACGTTAAGAACGGAGTACAAGTCGAAATAAATAAAAAACTTCATAACATTGAACGAGTTGTGCACGACTTCCTCAGCAGAAGTCCAAAGAGGGACTGCAGATCGAGTTGAGTATGAGTCATCCGGACGTCAACTGCGCCGCATCCGCAGCGTGCTCGTGGCCGATGCGTCGCCAGAGGAACCAGCGGTATTTTCGGAAAAATGAATTCCAATTACCTTCAGCATTCGTATACGTGGCCGTCCGAGAAGTCTGTTGTTGTAGTAAACCGTTGCAGTTTCATCAATGAAAGGGCCATCGCTGTCGTAGAGGCTTGACATGAATGCCCCTTCCAGGAACTGAAAGCTCCTTACTTTCACTGTTTTCAATGCGATTGCGAAAAAACTTCAAATTTAGAAATCAGAAAGCGTTCGAAATGCCTTACGTTCCAGATGTCGTCCATGGTGGAGATATCCGTGAATGCTTTCATTGCCGCAGAACTTTTTGACTTGACAAACAGATTACTGAGGATATTAGTGAAGTAGTACGTCTGCACGGAACTTTGCGCGAGTGCCACTAAATTTCAGACTATTTGGATGAAGTCAAAGAGGTGGGGGGGGCCAGTCTAGCGCTGATCTCGAGTCGACCTGTCGCCGTGCCTTCCCTCAGTGGCAGCCCTCTTCCGTTGCGATCTTGAGAGAAGGTTAGCACCGATGAGAATAGCACAACATTCAGCCCTACCCCTCTCCCTACAATCAGCATGGACCACGTCTTTAAAAAGGGTCCACGTAATGAGGAGTTCACAGCTGGAAACTGCTTGACGCTACCGTTGTAACACCAGTCCAGGAAGCAGGTGTAGTTGATTATTCTGAAAGCTGATCTTAGCGTCACTTTCTTGGTTTCATTTCCGGTCCTCCCTAAAAGAGCCAGCATCATTGAAAATACCTCTTTAAAAATGTGGCCAGCAGAACCTACCTTGGGAAGCCATAACTATCGCATCTTTGATCGACATAGATGCCCGCTGTTTTGGAAGAACTGGGGTTTCATCGAACTCCTAAAAAGGGACCTTGTGGGACGAAAATGGGGACGATTCCTCTGCTCTGGGCGATTCTTTCATTTTGGGTTGAGCTGAGAAACTCCGGGTAGCGCGGCGAAAGGGGTAAAGCAGGTGACGGTTCACGGCACACTCAACGGGATCTAACTGATTTAACGAGAAATTCGTACGTAGTACATAGATTCAACTAACTTTCAATTACTACCTAGTTGGGGCGTGTCACTAGAACCCGGATCTATTGACCTAGAACTCCTTGCTACCGTTGGCCACGTAACTCCTCACCTCCGTCGAAAGTGTATGGCCCTCAACAGCCGGCACATCCATGACGTTTGGCGGGGTCTCGTAGCCGCCATTGTCACGATAGTCCATTGGATATTTAGATTCATCAGCCATCTTCTGAAATTGGAGTTGAAAAGACTCAGAGAACTTCAGATCAAAAATGGACATTTCAATCTGATATTAATCAGCTCAACACCAATTTTACTCATCATTAAGTTATGTATTGAAAATGGGCCAAAAACATATGAGCAGGTAATGCTTCAGTGAGCGCGCGCTATATATCCTGACATCAATGTTGGTGAAAATGCAATCAGGGAAACTGAAACACTTCACAACTAAACGTTTTCTAAGGCTCGGTGTAAGAGTTGCTGCTGGATTCATAAGACGGGACTTTTGAGAGCGACTAGCTTGGAAAGCTGGTAGTAACTAAAGGAGATGAACGGGCAACTGCTCGCTGGTCGCTAGGATGCGCCCCTCGATACCAAGCAGCAATAAAGTAAAACCATTCCAGCATGACAGGTCTACGGTAGGATTTGCCACGTAGACTAAATTTTCTAGTGCTGGTCTGGACGAGTGCTGAATTATCTTAGGTGCCCTCAATTTGAAGCAACAAGAAGCTCGATTAACCTAAATCATGGCAAAAGGTCGACCACAAGATTTTACTCGATGTTGTTCCGAACCAACTAACCCATTTTTGTGGACTGGGATTTTCGGAAAATTGTTCACACCGGGAAAAGCGCTGCGGTTCCTACCCTGTCATCAAAGCTGCTCCAACGCTAATTTGCGTTAGGGTCGCAGAGCGACTGCGCGCGCTTGCAGAGCGATACGTATCTAATGCTTTTTTCAAAGCCAGCACTTAGAGCCGGGAGGGGGGGGGGGTCGTAACGAGACCTTCCTCCGAGGGGGGTGCTACTGACTTCGCCATTGCACACATCACGCTGTTGTACCCTAATGGAGGAAGGAGCTATTAAGTGGGTAAACCTATTTTAGACACACTCCGCTATTCGTTTCGCACGGGGAGTCTTTGAAGTGCCTCTTCCAAGGTTGTAGCGCCTTTTTCCCCTTACTGTCTATGAAACTCCTAGAAAGTCTGATAAAAGAATGAATTGCGCTGTTCGGCTTAGGAGGGGCACTTGGCACTTTCGCTGATTCCTTCTGTTAGCTCATTTCAGGTGACAAACCTTAGGGAAACCTGCAAACTCTTCTAAAGTGGCTAAATGGTGCAAGGGAGCCACTTTTCCGCAGGAAGTAATAGGGCTTTATTGCCTTGTACAATCTTCGCTGCATACCACTGGGAGAACCCACAAAGCGGAAAGAACTCCTCAGCCTATGAGTTCACGCCATGAACCTTTTTTCCTAGTTACCGAATCTTCCTCGTTCTCAAAAATTATCAAACTATTCGTCACGTTTGTTATGTCCCATGTTTGCCGTTTTTCGGTTAATGAGTAAGTGACTCATTGTGTTTTCAGTCCATTTCACCTATAGTGTATTTTTGAGTGCGATGAGTCAAAGAATGGACGATCACACTCGCGGCCACGATCTGACACCCACCAGACAGACCGACTGGGCCTCCGTCTCCACATCAATCATTGACGTACGTGTTTTCTTTCTTGCGACAGGAATCGACTCGGTGCAAAGAAGCCTACCTTCCCCCTTCCCGATCGAAAAATTGTGAATTTCGGCCCCACATCAGAGAAATCCTGGCAGTCCTTCTACTCTACTATAGTTTGGGTGACATAGAACTACAAGCGAGACGACTATTGCCCTTCTTGGAGACAGGGTGTTGTGTTGTCTCCTTTGTCAGAGACTGGAAACCCAAATATAACGTAGCTGTGATTCATCTCTTTAAACACCATTTCACTTTACAAAAGTTTGCCCAGCGCTAGAAACATCTGGAAACAGTTTCCCTAATGACCAATAAATTCGATTCAGTTTCGTGCGCACGACCACAGTTTAATTCAGACCATCGTTAGCCTGGTCACTATGAGTGCCTTTGAAAGGCCTGACCCCTAAAATGTGATATCTGGCCGAAAGAAATCAAAGCATCGAAGGGGCTAAACGACTCT